CTTCAGTGTCTCACTTAACCAGGGCTGTTGGCATCAGAGCTGGTCATCAGGGTTTCAATTATAAACCCAAACTGAGTCCTTAAGGAGCCATGTTTGCATTTTTGATATTTGCCGGTGAACTAATCAAAGAAAATGTTCGTGTCACTTTTGCGTCTCCATGTTTCGGTTAGGTGTTCAGTAAGCATTTCCTGAGCAAATGATTTCTACTTTACTAGCTTAAAATTGCAGATGGTCAGTGAAATAAATCTTATTCGCTAGTAAATTAGCATGAAAATTTCAATTTCCACATTTTAGGAAAAGAATAGAGACTAATGGAAAAAAACTTTTTTTTAAATAAGACTTCAGACAGGATGTGATTTTTTGGGGGGGGTTGGGAAGAGTATGTCAGAATCCAAGTGGCATAGTAGGGTATCCATCTCCCCAGGGGCTGCCGGGTGTTGCCGGCAAGTCAGGAGCGAGGGAGCTGCAACAGGTCGGCTCCTGCCGCGGCCCGGAGCACAGCGGTGGAAAGAAGAGGGAACCGCCCTGGGATACCTCGTGTGTAGGCGAGGCCTGTGCCCAGGAGGCTGTTTCTGTTCTACCCTGATGGCTGTGGCTTTCTAACTCTGAAGCCCCACACACCCTCTCCTGCTGGCTCCTCTTCCTCCCTGAGTCGGCCCAGTTCCAGTCCCGCTGCTGGAGTTAACTCCACCCCTCTGCTGCACTGCTGAGTCCTCAGTTGTGGCCCTGCACCTGGGCCGCCACATTCGGAATCCCAGTGCATCCTTCCCTGGGATCCCTTCCTAACCTGCTCCCCAGCTTCAGAATGATGACGTCTTGGTTTGGCCTAACTGCTTCTCACCCACTCGGACTTTTAAGAGCCAGGCCACTTGACTGTCCGTGCAGGCCTGCCCGATTAATACTCTTGGCCTGCCAGCTTGTAAACTTCATTTAATTCAATCACACATGCCCCAAGTCCTTAATATGTTATGTATGTCTCAGGGAATGTTTGCATTCATTATGTTCCCCTAATGCTTGGTAATACTAGCATTGCCTTTTTAAAAAGTTTTCTGAATTCACTTTTCAATATCTATAACTTACATTAGCAATTTTACGTCATACCTTACTTTGATAATACAAAATATGTAACGTTTTCGTTTTCTGAAGCCAAAAATTAAAATCATGCATAAAACAATATTTAGAAATGTAGAGACATTGTCTGTTTCTGAAACTGAGTAACATCACAACATGATATTATTGCATAGTAATCATTTAGGATTTGCTGGAAAGCCACACTGTGTCTTTAGCCCACAGAATGAACTAGGTGAGTTCATTAATTTCACTAATGTTATGAAAAGCCATGTTGGTCCTTGCATAGTCTTTTCATTTGTGTGCTTTTAATTTTTTTCTCGTTGCCAAACCTTGTGTGCATTCTGGAAAAACCAAAGCAGAAAAGAATGAGTATTATAGAAAAAAATTAAAACTCCTGTTAGCACTGTGATCAAGTATATCCTTCCAGATCTTTTGCTAAACATATTTTTTCTCTAAAATCATAATCATTCTGAACATGGTTTTATTTTTCTTTATATCAGTCATACATCACCTTTGCAACTGAAATTTTTAAATTTCTATTTTAATGAAGGTTTGAATTTTGTCTTGTGCCACCAGAAAGCCTGCAGGGTTTGAATTTGCCTGTTCCTCCTAATAATGGGATGCATCTGTATTTGGTGTGTATGCTGAAACTAAGCTACAGATATCTACTTCTGTCCTGCCATCTTTTTATGTCTGTAAATATGTACTTATATTCTCATTTTCAAGATGAACATGATTTATTTACTATTGGACATTTATAGGTTTTTCTTCTTTTTTACTGTTTTTTTTTTTTTTTTTTTTTTTTTTTT